GTGTTTACCTTCAGTTTCTAGCACGTGGCTATCAATTAGGTGTCTATGTTTTTATTGGACAATAAGTTTTGCCATAAAATATATTTTAAAAATTCAAATGAAATCGATAAGCAGACCCTGATAATTGTCAGCGACGATTCGTTCTACGTACAGATGTTCCTGACGGGGTGGGGGGATGAGGTATCTTTATCCCATTTCCAAGCCCCCACTTTGACAAAATCCTATAGTCCAAGCCTATGTTTGGCTCAAATCTTAAATCCCATTCCAATTTTTTATCATTAATTTGTTTGTAAATTTTATTCCCAGTGCGTGAAATCCCATTTTCTCCACCACCACCCCCCCTCCCCAAAGGCAAATCCCAGCTGCCATTTTATTCCTTCATGAACGATAAGCCTCATATCATATGGCGTATCATACAAGGCCAATGAACTTGGTCAGTAACCACAAAAGTATTTCTTTCGCTTATTTTCAATTAAACTCTTCTATTACACAAATAATTAAAAGAAGAACTATATCTGAGTCTTATTTTCTAGTTCAGACTATTGATATTATCGCTATGAACAAGTCATAGTTTTGGGTCTACGTGCGCTTTTTTCGTGCGCTTAAAAATATTTTGCGCGCTGATTTCCGTGTCTTAATTTGAAGCAAAAAATCCATGTAAAATAAACAAGCTCTACACAGAAATTCGCTTAATCTTGAAATATGAAAAAATCGTGGATTCTACAAGATAAGAAAGTACCCGAAGCATACAATGTTACTGAATGAAAGTAAATAGTGCATAAACAAACATGTTTGTGATCGATTTGTACTTAAATGGTTTTGGATAGCTTGTAATTAACACCAGCTTCGTCTACGACTTTGAGATAAAACCATAAATCATGATTGCAAAAGATGAGATTTTTTTACTTTATTGGTAAATATTTCCTTGGAGAATATGACATAGTAGACATAGTTATAAAAGTATTAAAGAATTCCAGACTTTAAGGTTTTGAGTTGTGAATCCAGTTAAGTTTTGATTTATTTGCACAGCTGAATGCATGAAGACTGCACAAGACTACAAACTTACATCAGAGCTCATCGACTGCAATAGCGACAGTTTACGATAAGCACGTCATCAACTGGTTTGATGAAAATTACCCGAAACTTGAGAATAAGGGAAGAATAATTATATCAGACATGTAGTGATTGCGCATCATCGTCATCATCTTAAACACCATCATCATCATTCATCATAATCATCATTACCAACACCATCACCACCACCATCAACATCACCACCATCATTACCAACACCATCACCACCAGCATCAACATCACCACCATCAACATCAACATCACCAACAGCATCACCATCACCACCATCAACATCACCA